ATTTTAAATCATTTTTTAAAAAATCCGAAAAAATTCAGAGATACTCTATATACGTAACCCAACATTCCCACGAAGTTTCATTAAAACATTCAATTTCACCCTGTACATACAGGGTGAAATTTAATGTTTCTATGAAACTTCGTGAGATTGTTGGGTTACGTGTATAGAGTATGCATGATTTTTTTCGAATTTTTTAAAATAAAATTTTTCGTTTTTTAATTTTTTATTTGGTTATTTTTTTGTCATTTCTTCCTTATGAGTAATTATTCATTTTAAACACGTCTACATAGAAGTTATAAAGCAACTTAAAATAAGCACTACTACATAAACGGAAACTTAATGAATGCCTTCATTATGCCTCCAGTCGAGATCAGCGCCGGTCGGGGCGACGACCGCGGCCGCCTGTGTAGGTACCTACTACACGCAAAGATGACTCGGCACTTACCTACTCTCCGCTTTGATCCACACTATTTAAAAACATTACAATAAAATAGTCTTAGATGCTATATTATATTGTACTTATGGGTGACTTCAATGTTAATATGCTTGATGCTCCAAGTAGTTGTGTATCGAAAGTGCTCGACTTTTTGCAGTGCCTCGATCTCAAACAAATTGTACAGGATCCGACCCATCACTCATACAATTCTGATACTCTTATTGATCTTATTTGTACTAATTGTGAAATTAGGGAAATTTCGAACACAAACATTACTGGCACCCTGGGACATGAAATGATAAATGTTAGCCTTACGTTAAAGAAGCTAAAGGTCCCGCCAAAATTTTACACTTACCGACCTTTGAAAAGTATAAAACTTGATCAACTCGATGCCGACGTTAATGCTATCGATTGGGAGTCTTTATCTAGTTTACCAACGGTGGAGAGTATGGTTGATCGGTTTAATAATTTACTATTAACGGTTTTAAACAAGCACGCTCCAACTATTAGGACTAAAGATCGGTCAAAACAGAGTCTGCCTTGGATAACAGACACGATCAAGTTAATGACTGATATACGAGAGAAAGCTCATTCGAGGTATCGCAAGACAAAATCAGATGCACATAAGCAGCATTATAAGGAAATGAAAAATGCAGTCACTATTGGAATTAGAAATGAAAAACGTGCTTTCTTTAACCATTATATTAATTCAAACATAGATAACCCTAAGCTATTTTGGAGAAACATAAAACAAAAAATATTGCCTAGTGATGGAAAGAACGAGTGCCTCCCGGATTGTTTTGTAGACCCTGATGCAATAAACAGGTATTTCTTAAACCTGCCAGGCCCGGAGACAGTGCCAATCTCGCGACTGACATATTACGAATACCATCGGCACCTTCATTTATCATCGCCCTTTAAGCTCCATACTGTAAACGAAACTGAGGTTTCTAAATATATATTAGCTGTAAAATCGAATGCTACTGGTTGTGATGAAATTAGTAGGGACATGATATTGTTAACCTTGCCACGCACATTGTCGGTCATTACTGAAATTATAAATAAATCTATAATTACTTGTACTGTTCCCTCTCAGTGGAAGACTTCACTCGTTACACCAGTACCAAAGGTCGAGTCAGCGTGTGAATTTAAAGACCTCAGACCTATAAGTATATTGCCCTTCATGTCAAAAATTTTAGAAAAGGTCGTTTATGGTCAGCTTATTCGGTATGTGGAAGAGAACAACATTCTCCCAAGACTTCAATCGGGGTTTCGTAAGGGCCGTGGGACAGTAACAGCGTTGTTGGATGTTACGGATAACATACTTGTGGAACAGGATACGGGAAATGTCACGCTTCTAGCGCTACTTGACTTTTCTCGCGCATTTGATTGTCTCAGTATACCCCTCCTGTTATCGAAACTATCATTTTATGGATGCGACGCCGAAACAGTCAGATGGTTCAATAGTTATCTCAGTGACCGACGACAAGCGGTAAGACTCCGCAAAGAGGATGGGTCTTTTTTGACTTCAGGTTTAGAGCTTGTAAGACGCGGTGTCCCTCAGGGGTCTATACTTGGGCCTTTACTCTTTCTTATATATGTTGCTGACTTACCTACTGCTATAAGACACTGCAAGTATCATTGTTACGCTGATGATGTGCAGTTATACGTGTCCAAAACGCCAAACACTATAAGTGATGCGATTTGTGAGCTCAATATGGATTTGGATGCGGTGGCTGCCTGGTCTGCTGCTAATGCTTTAGTTGTCAACCCACGAAAATCAAAATTTATGGTGCTCGGCACGAGTAAACAATTAGATAGGGTCTCAGACAGTGCTGTTGGTGTCAGAGTCTGTGGCGAAGTTGTGGAGAGAGTCAGTGAGGCCAGAAATCTTGGAGTTGTTTTTGACAGCCAGTTGCGTTTTGAGTCTCACGTATTAGGCCTAGTGAAGAGTTGTTTTTATCGCTTAAAAGTTCTCTATAAGATACGTGGCCTACTGTCAGAAAAAGCTCGCATTACCCTCTGTGAAACACTGATACTCTCAAGATTAAATTATGGTGATCTTGTGTACGGCCCCCGGCTGTTAAGTGGGAGTAGGAGGTTACTGCAGCGGATTCAGAATGCCTGCTGTCGTTTCTGTTTTAATGTCCCACCACGTACTCATATATCACCTTTCATAAATAGGGCTTCGATGTTAAATATGGAATCGCGTAGGCGTTTACATCTAGCAGTTTTAATGTTTGACATCATGAAATTCAAGAGTCCAAGTTATTTATATGAGAAATTAAAATTCCCTACTGCGACACTACGTTATGACGCAGGCAACTAAGACAGGCAAAGCCACCTTTATCGACTCAGAATCATAAAACGCAGGCGTTTAAGGGTAGTTTCCGCTATCAGGCGACCAGGTGCTGGAACAACATTCCACCTCCACTAAGGAGGATCATATCGCGCCAAACATTTAAAAAACATTTAAAATTAATTTTACTAGAAATGCAAAGGTTAGGAATAACCACATGTGGTCGTATGGTAGTGGTTTCTACCACTTTCTAATAGGTGTGTCACAATTTGTGTGTGTTAAATTCTGATGGGTAAATATTAATTCAGAAATTCAATATTAATCTAAATACTAAAAAGTAATAACAACAGTAATAATTAATAATTTTTGGTGAATGATAATATTATATATAGTTATATTATAATAACTTATCAATAATAATTTAATAATCTTTTTAATTTAATAAAAATATAATCTAATTTAATTCTCCTAATAATAAATTAATCACGTCACGTCGATGTCGTTTCACGTTACGCGCTTTCTAGGCAGAACTGAAAACCAGTGCTTTGCTCTTAGAGCAAAGGTATCGCTGAGTTTTTGCCTTTTTCTGTCGTTGCGGCACACAGTTACATACCTAGTAATTAATTGTTCTATTTTTTTACTTGAATTTGTGTGCTGTACTGATGGGAATAAATGATTTATCTATCTATCTATCTATCTATTATAATTATTTATTCACTGATACACAATACCTTTGAATATTGTTTCATAAAGCACAGGTAATTAATCAATAAAATAAATCTTCTGTTAGAGCAATTAAAAATCCTATAAAGTTAATATGACTGTCACGATTTTAAATCGGTAAAGCCTGTCTGTTAGTGTAAGAATTTCTTTTTTACTGTTAATGTTAGTTGCCTCGTTTAATTAAAACTTAAGCACGAACGGCTTATTAAATTGGGAAAAATCATACAGAGCAAATCGGTATAACTTACGAGCTTAGTGAAGGAAGGAACTCTTCGTGTCTGATTTGCCCACGTCATGAAATTCCCAACACATTTAATCACAGCCACAGTCACACACACACACACACACACGTAATAATATGTTGTTTTGCGGCAAGCACGGGCGGGCGGCGCGCCGCACGCTGGCAACTAGCGCCGGTTGCGGCGTCTTTGATGATGTGAATTCCGCCCACCTCCCCTCTTCCCCGCACGCGGTGGTTTGCTTTGATTGCATGCAAAACGCAGTCGCAAGTATATCAATCGCGCGTGCGCGTGCGCATCTTTTGACTTAGTGACATACACTGTGATAATTTCATTAAGCTTCGGTATACGAACCAAGAATACCTATTTAGAGATGGTGTACTGCTATCGCGAGTGTGACGAAGTAGGTTTGGTTTACGAATGAGTCCCCAAACCATAGAAGTTGCATTTTGTGCAGTGAGTAGTGATAGGGACACTTTAAAAAAGGTGAAAAGACACGTCCGCAAACATGCCTACCTTTGTTTGCAGCAAAATGGTGGTTTAGAGCAACAATTTTGCAGATAATAATTTTAGTCTCTTTTTATTGCTAGTGTAAATACTTTTTGATTAGAAACAACTAATTGTGTACTACCAGAATGATTGATTTGATAAAAAGTTCTAGTGAAAAAAATTAACATATTCATTTTTCATTCATCTCGTTCCTCGTTGTACCTACCTACATCGCCGGTCTCGTAAGTACTTTTGAATACCGGGTTATAAATTTCATTCTGACCCAAGTATTGAACTGCAATAAGTATTTTTTTTTTTGTTTAACATTTGCCTATTTCCAATCGTGACAAAATTATTATTAACTTTTTAAGTTTTTCTCTGCTTAAGAGAAGATGACATTTGTGCTTATTATTTCAATTTCAATAAAGGCAGGTACCTACTCACTCAACGGCTGGCGGGCGCGGTCGGTCGTTGACCCGCGGTGGAATTTAATGTTTTTCCGTTTTTTAGAAGTGCTTATTTATTAGTTGTTTTTCACTGGATATGTAAGTTCGTTTGTTTAAAATGAATAACTACTCAAAAGGAGGAAAGGACATAAAAATACACAAATTATAAATAAATACATAAAAAAAATATACTTCAAAAAAATCCGAAAAAAAACAGGCATACTCTATACACATAACCCAACAATCTCACGAAGTTTCATAGAAACATTCAATTTCACCCTATATATATAATTCATTTTCTACAAAAGTGGCGTTTAAGCGATTTTACCTTTGCACTGTCTAATATATTTATTATTTTTCGTGTGCAGGTTTTAGATTTGGATGAAACATTAGTTCATTGTTCTCTACAAGAATTGCCAGATGCAAGTTTCCATTTCCCCGTGTTGTTCCAAGACTGCCGATACACTGTGAGTAGTTTAATAATAATAATAAATGCTAAATATTTGTCTGTCTGTTACTTACGCTATAACATCTATACCACCGAACTGTTTGTTTGTTTGTTACAACTTGATTAAGAGATTGACACGATATTTTTTGTGGAAATTTAACCTAAATCGTTGTCTGAATTAGCTGGTAAAGTAACTCTATATATAAAATTTGCAGTGTATAATTAATAATGACAGATATTAAAAGGCTTTTTTTTCTAGAAATATGTGTAAACAGCTTAGGTACAAATGCTCGCATTATGTTAAGATACATAATATATTTTTCTAATACCCCGTCTCAGGTATTCGTCCGCACTCGTCCGTATTTCACGGCAAGCCCCTTTTATTTAATACCCATATTCAGGGAATTCTAAAAAAAGACTGGCCAAATATTTAAATAATTAAATATATATATTTTATTTTTAGTACTTGATATAAAGGCAACAAAAAGAGCCCGACTGATGTTCATCGGGTATTGTATATATATCAAGAGTTACTCTCCGAATTTCACTTGCGCGATGCAGGCTTCCATGCTATAATCGCCGGTAGCGCCATCTCTTGACGAGGCAAGTGATTACTTCCTCCATGTTAGTTATATGTGGGGCGTGTACAGACCCGTCTTTCCCAGTGGACACTTTGGGCTAGTGCCCAGGGCCCCGCGATCGAAAGGGGCCCACCTCAGATCAAATACAAAGTCCCTAGTTCCTGTTAGATCACCAAACGGGGTCCATAGGGGCCCCATTATCCTAATGTGCCCAAGGCCTCCAATAGTTCAAAGACGTTACTGGGCGTATAGTATATCCGCAGCTACATGTGTGTTCTGCTACATTAATAGACGATTATTTCTATATTCGTCTATTAATTTATTTATATATGTATTTGTATGATCGGGTCGCAGGTATTCGTCCGTACTCGTCCGCATTTCGCCGAATTCTTGTCGCGCGTGTCCCGCCTCTACGAGGTGATATTGTTCACCGCCAGCAAGCGAGTCTATGCGGATAGACTGTTAAATCTGCTGGATCCAGCTAGAAGGTGGATAAAATATAGGTATGTATAGTTATATATTTAAATTTTCAAGCATATAACTGCTAAATATTTGAATCTTAAGAAAAATTTCCTCGCGGATCAGGCAGCAGACGGGACTCGAACCCGCACCCTTCGCTATCTGGGCGAATGCACTGACCTTTATTATACCAAGGCCCTGATGGCCGTGTCGAATTTTCCCTAGCTTTCTCTAGTCTCGTCTGCTACCTGATCCGCGGGGATTTTTTTTAGAAGAATTTTCTTTATGTATGTATATTTTGTTATAAATAACACTTCGTATTTATAATGTATAACAGTGAAACCAAAATTCAGATGAACAATAGGGTAATTGACTTTGTTCATAATTTTACTAAAAACCCACGAAAAAGATAATAGTTTTCCTGTTTATTGTCACGTGACCCAAAACGCTTGGGATTGGCGGAGCCTAAAATGACGTCACACGCAAGTAAACTTCCGGTTAAAGTGACATTACATTGTATCGTTTGACGTTTTAATAACAGTCGTGTGACGTCACACACTAGTAAGACGCCAAATTGTCCAGAGAAACGTTTTTGCGGCATCTTGTAAATGGAGTTCTTAATTTGGTTATTTTTACTGAAATACACAACAGAATGATGTGGTATTTCAGTAAAAATAACCAATAAATAACCAATACTAGGCAGTATATTTTTTTTTGAAGTTTTCACTTCAGAACAGTTAAAGTGACATTACATTGTATCGTTTGACGATAATTACAGTCGTGTGTCGTCACACACTAGTAAGACGCCATATTGTCCAGAAAAACGTTTTCGCGTCAACTTGAAAATGGAGTTTTTGATTTGGTTATTTTTACTGAAATACACAACAGAATGATTTATATCCACTTTTTACGGACTCCATAAACATTAGTCAATAACGTAAGATCGTTTTCTAAAACATGTCAAATACCCTATTATTATTATTCTATACATTTCCGGACACATCTATCGGTCTACTTAGTGTTATAAGTTTAAGTAAGTCAAGTTTAAGAAACATTGAATAAAATTACAACATGAAATGTCGCTTTTATTGACGTGCAAATGTATAAAGATACATGATCAATCGGCTATAAAAGTGTCCGTCTAGTAGAAAGAGAAAGGAGATGAGAGACCGCTAGCTATCTCTCTCTATTGTGACGCATGGCATCCAATGGCATCACATCGAAATAGTAAGATGCTTACGGTTGCCAATGCGCATGCGCGATTAGAGAGAGAAAGCTAGCGATCTCTCATCTTCTTTCTCTTTCTATTAGAGGGGCACTTCCACTTGTAGTAGAGTCTTTATCCCCCTACTCTATTCTTATACCTCTATGGGGTCACAGCTGCTTCTACTGGGTGAAATGGAGCGACGTTCCGGTGCAGGCAGAACTTCTTAATCATGCGTTAACACAATTTTTTGAAGTGAATATTTCTTTAGCGGCGTTGTACCCTTTTTTTGTATGGGTAAAAAGTGTTGAACTCGCGTCAGGTTAAACACGTGGGCTGATCGCATCATGACACACAATAAAATTGGAAAGGTTGTTGACTTTCAATATATTGGACGAAACATAGTAATATTTTATTTTATAGTATTATAATAATAAGTCTGTATCTAGGACGTCCAGGTGGCAGCTTTAATGCGAAGAAAATGCTTTTTTTTTTTACAATAGGTGTCGCTAGGTGCTCTTGAATGAGTAATTCTGAGAGACAAACTTTTTAATGTAATATAAATTGTCATGTTTGTGTACGATAGCGCAACAAATAAATATTGTGTTCTACCACATACATGATAGTACTTTTATACTGATAATTAAAGCAATTCGTGCAAAAGTATTCCCTAACCATTCCAAAATATCAAAAATGCACGTTAATATTAGAGTTTTCACTTCTGCCGGCACTCCCGGAGTGCAACCCGACGAAGCTAACAATGCAGCTTGTAACTCAGCCCGTGGCATCGTCAGTTGTTTGACGGGCATGACACGACACTTACTTCCAATCAGGGCGACTTTTGTTTTGCCATTATCGCTCCAACGCCAATAGGCTACGGTGCACATTGCTTTGGCTGATGCGTCACTAAAAACATGCAATTATTGTAAATCGTTATAATAACCTTTCGACGTAGCGACAGATTTCGTCGTAGCCTGCTCGTAGCAGTAGGCCGTCGTAGCGCGGTCCGTAGACGTTGACGTCAGAGGTGTACCTCGGCACTGCTACAAAGTCTAGTCGTTTTTTAGGGTTCCGTACCTCAAAAGGAAAAACGGAACCTTTATAGGATCACTTTGTTGTCCGTCTGTCCGTCCGTCCGTCTGTCAAGACCCTTTTTCTCAGGAACGCGTGGAGGTATGAAGCTGAAATTTATATCAATTACTCAGGTCTACTGTCCCTTGAAGCTGTGAAAAAATCAAACTTCTAAGCCAACGCAATCAAAAGATACAGCCGTTTATGCCGCAAATTTTCGACACTTGCAAGGGAATCAAAACCTACAGGGTGCTTCCCGTGAACTCAGAATCTTGAAATTTGGTACCAAGCAACGTCTTATAGCATAGATAAAGGAAAAATTACGAAAATCATAAATTTTTAGTTACATCACATAATATATTTTTTTTTAATAATTTTAACCTTACTACCCATTTCCTCATAAACGCGTAGAGGTATTAAATTGAAATTCATACCAAATACTCAGGTTTATAATACCTTTAAGCTGTAACAAAATCAAACTTCTATGTCAACGCAATCAAAAGAAACAGCAATTTAAGCTGCATATTTTGAAACTCGCAAGTACTCGCAAGGGAATCAAAACCTAAAGGGTACTTCCAGTCGACCTAGAATCTTGAAATTTGGCATGAAGCAACGTTTTATAGCACACATAAAGGAAAAATTCCGAAAACCTTAAATTTTTAGTTACATTACAAAATATATATTTTTTAATAAATATAAACTTATTACTTTTTTCCTCATGAACGCGTAGAGCTATCAAGTTGAAATTCATATCAAATACTTAGATCTAATTGCCTTTAGCCCGTGAAAAAAAAAAAATTCTAAGTCAACGCAAAAACGCAAAAGTACAACCATTGATACCGCATATTTTGAAACTCGCAACTACACGCAAGGGAATTAAAACCTAAAGACCACTTCCCGTTGACATAGAATCTCGAAATTTGGTAAGAAGCAATAGCTTACAGCACAGGTAACAGAAAAATTCCGAAAAGCTTAAAATTTTAAGTAGTTATACCACCAAAAAAATTGTGATTGTAAACATAATTGTTGTTACAGCAATGACCGCGAGTTATTATACTATGTATGGGGAGGGCAACATTTTTCAAACGGCAAAGACGAGCTCACTCATCGTCATTCAATCCCGATGTTTTGGTGAATGTAGCTGTATAATCTAAATGCGTCCTAACTGCTTAAAGTGTTATACTTATAATTAAATTCAATGACATTATTATATTTCTTATTGTTGGTTGTTATCAGACAGCTTGCTTGTATTGTTTCTACTGGCGAAGTTTGATGGGACGCTGCATTTTTGAACCAGATTTCTAAATAGTGACTAAAAAACTTAGTAAATAAATAACTTTAATAAAAGAACTTTCGCAAGTCTGCTGCAAGGCTATTATAAGTGTTTCAGTTATATTATAGATAAATGATATGTGTTAATATAAAATAAAGGATTACTTAAACGATAAAGAGATCTTTGTCTTAAATTTATGCTCCTCCATCTTTCCCCATTGTAATGTTATGAATTTCATTTTGCAATAAAAATACCATAGTTATGACTCGATTGTCGTAATGAACGAACTTTGTAAACCTTGCAGGTTTGTACGGAACCCTCGGTGCGCGAGTCCGACTCGCACTTGGCCGGTTTTTTTTTTCCTAACTATCATCTGTTTGTTGCAGACTATTCCGTGAACATTGTTTACTTGTGAACGGGAACTACGTGAAGGACCTGTCGATATTAGGCCGCGATCTCAGAAAAACTGTTATAGTCGATAACAGTCCGCAGGTAAGAAAATAAGAAATAAATATTTCCAACACTCACACCAATTAGCCTAGCCCCAAAGTAAGCACTGTAGGCTTGTGTTATTAGATACTAGGGTAACGGATAGAATATATTTACTGATACATATACACCGTGTTCCTGGGGTTATGCACTAACTTTGGTATGTTATTCAGACTATTAAATTGATCATTTTTTACTATGGACACTTATGAATTCCAATTTCTTTAACATTTTTTAATTTCATACAAACTAAATGCTTAGATGTAATTTATCTAGTATGAATCACTCTTTACCTGAGCTGGCAACGTCGCATTTGAAACTTTGGTTCACATGTCCACATAAACTTTTTGAAACTTTTCTTGACGTCAACAATGTTTTTTAAAATTTTGAATTTTGAAACTATGAATTAATGACCATTGACAAAGTGGTAGTAGGTACAGTTTGATAATAAATTCATCATCATCATCATCAGCCTCTTTATGTCCCCACTGCTGGGGCACAGGCCTTCTCTATGGGTGGAATAGGGAGATTGGGCCATGACCCACCACGCGGGCCCAGTGCGGATTGGCGGGTTCTAACGATTGCAGATGTAACCGGGACCAACGACTTAACGTGCCTTCCGAAGCACGGAGGAACTCGAGATTTCCGAATTTTTGGTCACCCATCCAATGACCGACCACTGCGAAAGTTGCTTAACTACAACGATCGCAGCCGAACGCACTAACCACCTGCGCCATCGAGCTCCTCATAATAAATTATCACCTGATAAATGATGTGAGAGAAGCCGTGATAGCCCATTTGGGAGTACGGTCAGCTTGTGACTGTGAGGTCGCAGATTCCCGGTCCCGTAATACTAAGTTCTTATGAATTGTGGAATTCTTTAGAATTTACGTAATTTTGTTCACAAGTGTACTTTACATTGCGATATGAAATTCAGTTTGATAGTTTTGGTTGCACAAAGCGGCAACATCTCACAGATAAAGACTCTTTCTCACTGCACAACACAATTAAGTTGGTTAAACTTAAATTACCAATAACTTAAAAACTATGCTATTTAAACCACTACTTTCTTTGTACGATATGTTTAACAAGAGCTATAGAAGTACTATTCAAAGTTAATGTATCCTCAGGAACACGGTGTATAAGTATATTTATGTAGAAATACTTATTAAACATTCATGACTGGAGTACAAATGCTCGTGTTCATCACACAAACATCTGCTAACTTTGGTATTCCTACCCGGGACCTCTCGAGAAGGCGACTCCTTGAAACACGGCGCACAAACCACTCGGCCACTGAGGTAGTCTGTAATAAAAAAATTGTGTGTATCGACGAGGTCATTCATCAATAGATTTTATTCCTCACATTTTTCTCGTATCGGGCCCCTTATATATGCAAATCGATTCTTAAGGAGTAAACTCCAAAACTATAGTAATTACTTGACAGAACAGGATATAATAAAACACCCTTTTAACGGGTACAAAGAGTGATTTAATCGGAATCCTGACAGACGGCCGAATATGTTAATTTTCTATTTATTATCTGCTTTAAAACCATTTTTTTACATTTATTTTAAAATTGTGTTTTATTTTCTAGGCATTCGGCTATCAACTGGAGAATGGCATTCCAATAGACAGTTGGTTCGTAGATCGCAGCGACAATGAGCTACTGAAACTGCTGCCATTCCTAGAGAATTTAGCTACGGTAAGATTTTGTTACATTATTTCCTACAAATTTGCTCAAAAAATGCATTTACGGAGCTTGTAAACATTGTTCGAAAGTTCAAAATTTCCCAGCTTACAACGGAGCGTAATATTTTTACCGCACGCTTCCATACATGGTACCGTGTTTTTTTTTTAATTTGACTGCACGCTCCGTTGTTCTATACATGACGCCGTGCGTATTCATTAAGTTTCTATTTCAATTTCGATCGGACCTTCTTCCGAAGTGCTTTTAATCTAAATATTGTCTCACTTTACTAAAAAGAAAAGGAGACAAAAGATGTAGTTCTGTTTTTCACCACCCGCACGTGGCGCCATTCATATTCATATTCATTTATTGCATTCTTGTTGTTTACATGCTGTTACAATATATATATATATATATATGAAAAGTTGTTCATATTCATTTATTTATTTATTTATTTATTCATTTATTGCATGTCACATAACATTCATGGTGGTACATTAATTTATGTAAAGTAAATATGTGACGCCCTGCAAGGGCATAGCAAATATCAAGCCAGAGGGCTTGTTAAATAATTATATTATAATACTTAGTTCACATTTCATTTTTACACAACAAACAATTCAATTTTATAAACTAGATTTAACAATGTCAATAAGTAATAATAATAATAATGAAAATGTCAACTTTAAAAATTAATTACATTTGTCGTCAAAAAATTCTTTTAAATTATAAAAACATTTTTGGATTAAATATGATTTTAATTGATTGTTGAATTTGGCTGATATTTCTACGTTCTTTATATTATTAGGTACATTATTATAGATTTTTATTGTCATAGCATGAGGACTATCCGAAACCAATCTTAATTTGCTGTATGGCACTTCTAATTTATTTAAATACCTATTATTTCTTTTAACACTTACTATTGGTGATTAAAATTCTGGGTGTTTACTTACAAATTTACATGACTCAAGGATGAGTATGGATGCAAGTGTCAAAATTCTATGTTTAATAAAATAAGGTCTACATGATTCCATCTGATCGATGTTTGTCAAAATTCGTATGCATTTCTTTTGCATTATAAATAATTTGTCTACGTCAGATGAGCTTCCCCACAAAATTATACCATATGATAGTATTGAATGAGCATATGCATAGTAAGCAGTAAGAGCGGATCTAAAATCAGTCACACGTTTTAAATGTTGAAGTGCATAAACAAAAGATGACATCTTTTTTAACAGCCTTTGTATGTGGCATTTCCAGTTTAAAGTGCTTCTTTACTTAAATAAGTTGAAGGTACTGTTTTCTAGCAAATGTGTTGAAAAACGTTGTATGACATTCGTGCGGAATTTGTATTTACTAGACTTGCAACGAATAGTATATTCGGCAGTATACCGAATACCGAATATTCGGCGAGGCCCCTGACCGAATAGCCGAATGTTAGGCAAAAGTATTCGGCTGGATTTTAGCGCCAAAAACTTGTATAGACGTGATTGTTTCGTTCTAATCTGCCGTCCTCAAGCTAAAATGCGGCTAAATGACAAATAGTCCAGTCGGAATAAACATGAGACCTATTCTAAGACACCAGCGCTTAGCCAATTTTTTCCTAGATAGTATAGACCCCCACGAATATGCCCTCCATTTGTCCCCGCTAGAACCCGTGTTTTGTAGCCAGGAAAATTGTTTAAACAAAGAAAAACCGTTTTTTTTGGGTTTTTTTGCTTATAAACGGGGATTTTGAAAATTTTTTTGAATCAAAGTTGTTCATTAGCTTGCCCCCTACAAAATCAGTTCTATGAAAAAATAACGTGAGATTGTTAGTTTAGCAGTAAATTGCAATTATGTCGGTTTTACGTTTGCAACAATTCAACATGTTATAATAAACATTTTGATTTCTAAAGTAGTTTATCATGTGGGTAACGCCACTCCCAAGAGAGTCATGTAAAATTTATCGACCTGTGTCGCAAACTTTAGCAACAATTCTCAATCTCCGAAAAAAAAGTACTTGCCTGTCCCGTCTTTCCCAGAAGGCGCACAGCGGGGAAAAAAATTCAGGTGATTCGATTCACCAAGAATTTTGAGGAATCGATCGAGTAGAAAAAAATCGTTAATAAAAATGTTCGTTTTTGGACGATTTAATTTTTTTTTAAAAATTGACGTAGAATAATTTTTTTTTTAAACTAATGTATTTTTCTCTCCTCAACTCGAATATACGATTGAAAATTTAAAAAATTCAGTTTATTTATGTACAGAAATTATTTACAAAACTATTAACTAAAATTCGATTACAAGACTGCGTTGTATTCTATATTTCTAATTAAATTAATTTCGTCCTTTTTTCTTCCGGTTCATAAGCGGAATTCTCAGGGTATATTAGTATTATATATATATTATATATATATATATTATATATATATATATATATATTATATATATATATATATATTATATATATATATATATATATATATATATTCAGAATAGTATATTCGAGTTGAGGAGAGAAAAATACATTAAAAAAAATTATTCTACGTCAATTTTTAAAAAAAAATTAAATCGTCCAAAAACGAACATTTTTATTAACGATTTTTTTCTACTCGATCGATTCCTCAAAATTCTTGGTGAATCGAATCACCTGAATTTTTTTCCCCGCTGTGCGCCTTCTGGGAAAGACGGGACAGGCAAGTACTTTTTTTTCGGAGATTGAGAATTGTTGCTAAAGTTTGCGACACAGGTCGATAAATTTTACATGACTCTCTTGGGAGTGGCGTTACCCACATGATAAACTACTTTAGAAATCAAAATGTTTATTATAACATGTTGAATTGTTGCAAACGTAAAACCGACATAATTGCAATTTACTGCTAAACTAACAATCTCACGTTATTTTTTCATAGAACTGATTTTGTAGGGGGCAAGCTAATGAACAACTTTGATTCAAAAAAATTTTCAAAATCCCCGTTTACAAGCAAAAAAACCCAAAAAAAACGGTATTTCTTTGTTTAAACAATTTTCCTGGCTACAAAACACGGGTTCTAGCGGGGACAAATGGAGGGCATATTCGTGGGGGTCTATACTACCTAGGAAAAAATTGGCTATGCGCTGGTGTCTTAGAATAGAAGTCGGTCCAAATTATGGCTATTCCGACTGGACTAAAAACCAACTTTTGTGATATGGCCAAAAACGACGCGTAAACCTATTAAGTAACCATTCATTTGTTTAATACAGAAAATGATTAAATAATGTACCTGTTTTATGTACCAATGACTACTTAACAAATGATTATAAAAGAAATGAGAACCTTACCCTTCTAAATTTTGATTACCACAATAATTCAAATACATAGAATCCTCAATTTTTCCAATTCAGAAGATGATTATGTACACCTGTGTTATGTACCAATGACTACTTAAATGATTATATAACAGGAATAAAAATATGAATATATAAGTAATCAATCGATTTTAATTTTTCATTGTACCATTATATATTTATTATTATATTTCTCTATTTATTTATATTTTATATTTCTCTATGACAAAATATATTATTTAAGTATTCGGTATTCGGCCGAATATAATAAAAGCGGCCGAATAGACCGAATACCGAATAGTAACCGAATATTCGTTGCAAGTCTAGTATTTACAAACTCTTGACTATGGTAAACACTCGACTTCGTCCCAGGCTTACATTCGTATTAATGTCCCCACTTCTGGGGGACAGGCCTTCCCTATGGATGGTATAGGGAGATTGGGCCATGACCCACTACGAGGGCCCAGTGCGGATTGGCGGGTGCTAACGACTGCAGATGTAGCCGGGACCAACGGCTTCACGTGCTTTCCGAAGCACGGAGGAACTCGAGATAGAAGTTTTGTGGTCACCCATCCAATGGCCGACCACTGCGAAAGTTGCTTAACTTCAACGATCGCAGACGAACGCGCTAAGTACCCGCGACCTCGAGCTCCTCAATAATAACCAAGTTACCGCACTAATGTCATAAATAACTGTTTGGAATATGTTTGAGGGGTCCGTTGTAGCTCCGTTAACCGTTAACACGGATAAAAGAATTTCTCTAGATTTTAAATTGAAGCAATTTATTTATTGCTGAAAAAAAATATGATAAAAATGCGTTATTATTATTATTTAAGATATGGCCTTAAAAATGTTTTTATATTTTATTGTATGAAATCCACAAAGAAAAAATATCCCAATAGTCATTGTAGTTGCTTGCAATGTCCAGAGATGGCGCTAATTTGCAGCCTAAGATCGGTGTCCTTGAGGTTTCATCATAGAGGTTTAAGAATAGAGTGGAGAAGGCGGCTGTAAAAGTGTCCGTCTAGTAGAAAGAGAAAGAAGATGAGAGACCGCTAGCTATCTCACTCTTTCTTGTGACGCATGGCATTCAATGGCATCACATCGAAATAGTAACATGCTTTCGGTTGCCAATACGCATGCGCGACAAGAGAGAGAAGATAGCGGTCTTTCATCTTCTTTCTCTTTCTATTAGAGGGACACTTCCACTTGTAGTATAGTCTATAACTCCGCTACTCTATTCTTATGCCTCTATGGTTGAAAAATGTTGTATGAAATTCTTGCGATATTCCTTAAACATGAAACCTGTTAGACAGAATGCAGTAAACATTTGAAATTGATTTTTAATATATATTTTTTATTAATTATTTACAGAAAGACGACGTCAGACCGTACATCAGGGATAAATATAAACTTTTCAGCTACCTACCACCGGATTAAAGTAATGTGGCAACACAAATATATTTGTTTTTTGTGAACACTACACATTATGGGTCTTTCTGCATCGCGAAATTTGAAAAAATCCTTCACTGTCACAAAAAGTTATAAATCAAATATCTTTAATATTGTTTTTATTTTTATTTTTTTTAGCATTTAACTGCTAGATGTTTATATCTAAAGAAAAGTTTTAATAGAAAAAAATCCACGCGAACCAGGCAGCAGACGGGACTCGAACCCGCGCCCTTCGCTATCCGGGCGAATGCACTGACCAATTATGCTACCGCGGCCCTGACGGTCGCGTCGAAATTTTCCTATCCTTAAGCTGCAAGGCAGCGCCATTTCTTCGCATTGTAGGTAAACCACAATGTCAAATGAATACTTTTTCAAGTATTAAAGATTTGAAAGAATATCAGTGCATTAGCCCGGATAGCGAAGGGTTCGGGTTCGAGTCCCGTCTGCTGCCTGATCCCCGTGGATTTTTTTATATTATAACTTTTCTTTAATATTATTAAAATAAACGATACGGATGAGTTTGAATTTTCATCAAAGTTACAACTTCCTCACTCCAGTTCATTATATTGTTTCATTTATTAATTTTAATGGTCAAAATCTCTGATGAAACATTAATGAATATAATATGAAATGAAATGCCAAATTGACAGATTGTATGCGAGTTTGGAAAATGGCCATTTGAAAGAACCATCATTATTGTGAAATTGAAGAATTCTTAAATGAAACTAACATACTTAACAAGTTTCACCCAATGTCACCATTTGAGACCCCTTGTTCTGTTCAATGTAGAGTACACTCTTTGCTTAATCTGGTTATGTTATAAATAGTTTTAAATTAAAAAAAAAGACGGGTTGCACTCCGGGAGTGCCAGCAGAAGTGAAAACTTGAATATTAACGTTGTGCATTTTTGATATTTTGGAATGGTTAGGGAATAATTTTGCACGAATTGCTTTAATTATCAGTATAAAAGTACTATCATATATTTGGTAGAATACAATATTTATTTATTGCGCTATCGTACACAAACATGACAATTTATATTACATTAAAAAAGTTTATCTCTCAGAAAAATCAACTTACACGAATCACGTTTAAGCGCACTTAGCGACATCTATTGTAAAGAAAATGCATTTTCTTCGCAATAAAGCTGCCACGTGGGCATCCTAGATAGAGACTTATTATTATAATACGGTAAAATAAAAGATTACTATGTTTGTCCAATATATTGAAAGTCACTACCTTTCCAATTTTATTGTGTGTCATGATGCGATCAGCACACGTGTTTAACCTGACGCGAGTTTAACATTTTTTACCCATACAAAAAAAAAGTGTACAACGCCGCTAAAGAAGTTTTGACTTCAAAAAAATATGTTTCCAAAATAAGTATTCAATAAAAATGTTGGTATATTTTTTATCATAATCGTTAATCAATCGTATAAAACTACAAATTTTAAATGACCTTGTAACTGATAACCTGAGATACAGGATCTTTCCTAGTTCAGGTATCAACTTGCCATAATCTTGTATCGCCTTGTATTGAAACATTTTGCTTCTGTTAACCCAATAGATTAAGGTAAGGAATAAATGATTTAATATTTATTATTATAACTATTTTAACAACCAGTAAATTTTCAAAAGTCTTTTGAAGGTAGCTCGACAAAGTAAATAAAAAATCATTATTCTGACGATGCAGACCTGAAAAGGCTGCGAAACGTCAAAAAAGAAATAGAGTTCGTGCATTAACCCGTTAAAACTAGTTTTATTTAACCAGTAAATATCAAAATTTCTACAACTGATATTGAATCTTAAACTCTACTACAAAGATTAAAAAATCTGTTCAATAATATTGATAATTATATGCAGTCGTAGAGGCTGTGTTTATTTTAAATACAAAACAAATTTGCATATATTTTTGTTGAAGATGCAGAAAGTCTCATTATAATGTTTTTACTATCATCAATAAATAATTAAAAAAATATTATGTAATAAATTTCAACAGAAATATTTATTAATTATTGCGAAATTCGATGATAATAATGCGATCGGTTTTTATATTAGGCAATGACATTCTAAATTAAATAATATATAATAATTGGTTAGTTAATTTATTATTGAAAATAACAGTGTATTAAGGTGACATACATAATTAAGGAATTTGTTCATATTATAACTGAACTTGCATATTTTGGTACGATTTTTGTTGTTTTCAAAATCTGTGATTAATAATTATATTTTTTAATTGTTTTCCTTCTTTTTTAAATTAAATTTTATCATTGACAGGTACCAAAGACTGGACTTCATCATATGTTTTACTAAAAGTATTTTTTTACTATGTATAACATTACGTATGTATGGTGTTATTTTTTTTATTATTAATGTATTTTTTGACATATTTGCTGTGCAGTCTTAAATAAAAATTAAAACATTATGAAAATACATTATAAAGGATAAACGTGTGAATGGATTTATTTGTATTAAGTTGATTTTTGAAGTTGTTTAATTTAAAATTTTAATATTTAGGTGCTATATCGAATAGTTCTTTTTTATATGGAAAAAATGTAGATTTGATTTCAGATTTATTGTTTATAAGTTTAAAATCAAATCTGTATTTTTGAAATAATATTTTTATTAATTAATAAGTTTATTTTTTTACGTCCATTCTATTTAAGTAATAATTTCACTTATATCGACTATTATTGTATCTCTGTGTTTTCTTCTTATAGTTTATAATTGAAATTGTTTTGTAATTGCATTTTCGACTCTTATTTTTAAAGTAATGAAGGTAAATATTGCATAAGCCTTGTAATGAATGAGATGGAAATTATGAGGAATAAAAAGTAGATAGTTATAAATATCAGTTAATAATATCCCTTAGAATTTAAAAATGTATAATAATTAACATGATATTAATTAGATTATTTCATAATTGCGCAGTCGTGAACGTCTTTAGAAAATAATTCTTAAGTGTGAACAGATTGTATGTGAAATGGGATCGAAGCTAAATTTGTTGAATTCAGTCATCCTTTCTCAAGTAATGTAATGTTATTAAAGTTTAATTACGAAGGAAACGTTGTTATCTACACAAATATTATGAATGCGAAAATATGTCTGTCTGTTATCTCATCACGTTTAAACAGACGAACCGATAAAGGTGAACTTTGGTATAGAGATAGTTTGGTTTCCGGGAAAGGATATAGGATATTTTTCAATTGCCCTCAACTGTACACAATTCGGGACAGATGGGATTTTTCGTATCGTCATTGGTCCCAATTTATTTAATAAATGGGGACAGAAGGAAATGTAATATGCGCCACGGGTTAGGGTATTGAAGTATGTTTTTTTTATATTCCCAATTGCCTTCAACTGTACACAATTCGGGCCAGATGGGTTTTTTCCTGTCATCATTGGTCCCAATTTATTTAATAAATAGGGAAAGATGGAAATGTAGTATGCTCCACGGGTTAGGGTATTGAGGTAAGATTTTTTTATATTCCCAATTGCCCTTAACTGTACACAATTCTGGGCAGGTGGGATTTTTCTTATCGTCATTGTTCCGGTTTTTTTTTAATAAATGGGGACAGACGGAAATGTAATATGCTCCACGGGTTAGGGTATTGAGGTATGATATTTTTATATTCCCAATTGCCCAATTGCCCTCAACTGTACACAATTCGGGGCAGATGGGATCTTTCTTATCGTCATTGGTTCCAATATTTTTAATAAATGGGGACAGATTGAAATGTTATATGCTCCACGGTGTAGGGTATTGAGGTATGATTTTTTTATATTCCCAAGTGCCCTCAACTGTACACAATTCGGGGCAGATGGATTTTTTCTTCTTATCGTCATTGGTCCCAATTTTTTTAATAAATGGGTACAGATGGTAATTTAATATGCTCCACTGCTTAGGGTATTGGATCAGGGTAGGCAATTGTGCGACTGATAATTTTGTGAAAACTCTTCCTCTACCAATCTATTATGGATGTGTTTCAAAAGCGTATACATAATTTTTAGACAGAAATAGGCGAAAATAAGCACACAAAGAGTTGTATTTCATCATTATGATTTTAAATATTAAATTAAATACGTATGACGACCGCCGTGGCCGAGTGGTTTGTACGCCGGGTTTCATGGTTTCGCCGACTCGAGAGGTCCCGGGTTCGAATCCCGGTGGGGGCAAATGTTTGTGTGATGAATACGTGCATTTGTACTCCAGTCATGGATGTTTAATATGTATTTCTATAAAAATGTACTTATATATGTACAGTATATGTATTCTTATCCGTTACCCTAGTATCCCATAACACAAACCTTACAGTGCTTACTTTGGGGCTAGGCTAATTGGTGTGAGTGTTGAAAATATTTATTATTATTACGTAAGAAAGAGGCTACTCTAATTCAACGATAAACGAAATGGCGATCGAAATTTCGCACGTTTGCTAACATGTTTCTTATTGTTTTCTTTATGCGTTTGTCCGAAAATAGTTTGAGGACCTCTACGAAAAATTTAATTTGACCATTTGTCGGTCGAATTTTATCTTCAATTTGAAATGATTTGCGTTTGAACTCGAAAAAGAGTAGACCTCCTAATGTTGTATTAGGCTGAAAGAAAAATATAAGTGATTTTCCATTGATAAAAGATACATTATCGTTAGATCAACAACTGCCTATAGTGTGTTATCGATACAATTATTGTTAATAAATTATATCGACAACCTGTTCTGATAAAGAAATCAAAAAAGCGTAAGTACGATAATGCCATTTGAAAGTCAACTGTTTGTTTAGTTTCGTTGACTTTTTGCAATCTTCCTTAACACAATGGGACATCGTAATACTTTTGAAGAACGACATCGGTTTTAATCTAAATCTTTTAACTTTTACAGTTTTTTAGGGCAGAGATGATAATAAAAACTTTTTATAAACGCGACAATATGTCTGTGTTTTTTTTAGGTTAAATACACCGACTTCACAATTATTATTTAGCTACTTACTTAGCTTGTTGACTATCAAATGAAGGTTCTTCTTTTGCTTAAGGTATATTACAGAACTATGCCTAAGTTGTTTTACTATTCGAAGTCCAGCCAAGCTAAGCCTTAAGAGTTTTCAATGTTTTGGAAGATTAGCTTGTCCCGATACAGGTGGACCTCTTTAAGATGCTGATTTATTGTTAGGAAATTATTTAAAAGGCTCGACTTAAAACCGATTATATTCCATTTACGTGTCAATATAATATTTTGAAGTTAAAACTAGCTTTTCTGATATTTGATAAATGCTAATTTAAGCTACCGTATGAGCTTCCTACCCGCGGTGTTCCCTCGAAGCTATAGACGAGACTTAATAAGATTGTTCCACGAATGGAAATAGGCGAAAAAACCACTAAAAATCAGGTGACCCATCTTCTCGTCTGCTTACGAAAGCTATAAAACAATAATAAAATATATCAAATGGTGGAAAAATCATCATGTCCTTCTTCTTCATCGTCGTTTCCTCATGGCTGATGGTCGTGACCTTTCAGGACAGCACATTTCACCAACGATCTCCAGACCGTTCTGTGTTCTGCAAGGCGGATGGACGCCTGCAATTTGTCATTCGTAGTTTCTTTAACTATGTCCAACCACCGGGATGGAGACCTGCCCCTACTCCTTGCCTTCCACGTTTACCACGACCAGAAGGTTTTCAAAATTATCTGGGCTTCTCCTTGCTACGTGACCGAAGTATCATCATGTTAGCTTAACATTAATTATTTCACAACAACGTGTCACTCATATTTAAACATCGCTGTTTTTAAACTTGATAACGAGACATGAAAGCATTAAGATAAATTCGGTGCATCAATATATCGTATCATGTGTTTATTACGCTCAACGTTATATTATTCTTAAATGATCTTGAACCTTATTTAACATACGTTAAAGTTGAAAATCGGTCAGGTATTCATAACCGGATCTATTGTGTTTCGATTTTTTTCTAATGTTATCTTAATAATTGTATATTTATGGTTTTTCAGTGGAATTGCTTTTTGATTTAGTAATGCATATATTTATATGATAATAACAAAACAACAAGGAAATTTTATTTTTCAGTTTTTAGTAGCGACAAATAGGTCAAAATTGCAATACTTTTAATATTATATCTAAACGTTAACAGTAAAGACTTTGTTATCTACTATATAAAAATAAGTCGGGTTTTCCTTCCTGACGCTATAACTCCAGAACGCACGAACCGATTTCCACGGTTTTGCATTCGTTGGAAAGGTCTCGGGCTCCGTGAGGTTTATAGCAAAGAAAATTCAGGAAAAATTAAAAAAAAATCGTTTTCTTTTAATCACAAAACGAAATGTTACATAAAACGAAGCTATCTGGTCGCGAAACGGAGTTCGCTGGGTTTGCTAGTTTTATATATAAAAAATTAGGTTCCATACCATAATTCGGCAAAAAGGGAACATTAATATGATCACTTGGATTTATTTATTTAGTTATAAATAAATTTATTTTTGGACCAAAGGCGGACTAAACTCTAAAAGCATTCTCTGCCAACTCTGTTTTACTCTTTATATTCGGCAGCATGCATGAGAGTGATAGCTTACATTATAAACGTAGGAATTCGTGAAAATCGTACCAATCATCAATGTAATAAATGTGATTTAATTGAGGAGCTCGATGGCGCAGGTGGCTAGCGCGTTCGGCTGCGATCGTTGAAGTTAAGCAACTTTCGCAGTGGTCGGTCATTGGATGGGTGACCAAAAATTTACTATCTCGAGCTCCTCCGTGCTTCGGAAGGCACGTTAAGCCGTTGGTCCCGGCTGCATTTTCAGTCGTTAGCACCCACCAATCCGCACTGGGCCCGCGTGGTGGGTCATGGCCTAATCTCCCTATACCATCCATAGGGAAGGCCTGTCCCCCAGCAGTGGGGACATTAATAGGCTGATGATGAAGTTGGTGATTACAAATGAATAGACGAATGGTAAGCCTGAGACGAAGTCGAGTGTTTACCATAGTCCAGAATTTGTAAATACTAGACTTGCAACGAATATTCGGTTACTATTCGGTATTCGGCCTATTAAGCTGTGGGGACATTAATAGGCTGATGATGATGATGAATTGGGGGGTTCGAATACCAAACACCGATATACCTAAAATATGAGCCGCTTGTAAATTGCTTAAAATTATTATAAAATATCTGAATATATATATATATATAAATATATATATATTTCACGAAAGAAGTCCTCAAAGATAAGTTGGCAGCAGTTTTGACAATACTTAATTCTTTGTGTGTATCGCTTAAACGAGTCTCCTAAAATTAGCTTCATTCGGTTTAATATAAAAGTACCACACACATAATTCACACAAATAATTTTCGTTGCTGCTTTTGCTTTTTCATAGACGGGACAAATTTATAACTAATTACAAATAAAAATTGTTTATCGTAAAATTAACGGTGTTTCCTAAAGTAGGCTTGCATTCGTTGCGTATTTATTTATTTATTTCAGGAAATCAACAGCATTGTCTTAGTTCTGATAACATTTCGTATCGTGTTCTACATAACGTAGACTTTGAATGTAACTTTGTCTCAAGAGTTTTATGCTACCAAAATCTTAGTTGCCTAGATATATTTGTTAATTATTGGTAATTATTTTGTGTCGTGAAGTTACTGAATTTTAATAAGCTGACCTTTTATTGAGGGTAGGAAGACTATTCCCACTGTCCCTGATATTAGGTGAGGATCACATGGGAAATTTCTGATCAATTGGGAAAGGCTGCCAGTAAAGACAATTCCAATTGTCCCTAATTTTGGTTGAGAGGCAAATGGGAATTTTCGTGTCCATTGAAATAGATAAAATAGTCATGGCAGGAGAATGGAATAGTATTTTACATGTAATATGAAGGACCTTGCAACTAATTTGTCGACTAATATGCCTTCTAGGTTATAGATAAGCGAAAATTCTCTATGATTCTTCAGTGATAGCATTAAGTTCATAATAGCGAACAAGGATTTATTTAGTATTGTGTAAGAATGTTTAATCCAATAAAAAGTATATTGTATCGAATAATATTTTTTTGTTTTATTTCTCATATACCTGTTTCACGCCATTTATAACTATCAAACATCAAACTTATGGAAACTAACGATATTAAATACCCTAGATACACCACGTCCGCTCAAACTGTGCCAATCAAGAAGTGCTTGAACTCCACTCAAGCACTTCTTGGTTCACAGTCACGCGCGGACAGTTGAAAAGTCAACATGCCGCAGAGCTCTGTGAAATAATGCGAAAAAAATACTTGTAGTATGTAACGTGTTGTTTTTCGACAGGTATCTAATCAATGTTTGCTAATTTAACGCATTTGAAGCAAATTTTGTTCTAACACTTACTATAAACTGATTTAATGGAAAACATTTGTGATATTCAAATGCATAGTCGGTTATATAGCCGTCTCTTTTCCTCGCGGTCCGTACTTGCTATATTACTAACAGTGAATTCAGATTTGTGCGTAGAGTCAAAGAAATAAGGTCTATATTCTTCCGCATACAGCAATAAGTCGTAAAATTTATCGAGCTTGCATTTTGAACTGTCGCACCTCTTTGACGCATGCGTTTTACTTAAAAGACCTTAAACAGTACCTTTCCATTAAAGGTGACTTTCAATGTTTAAATAAATCTTTATATTGTTTTTGACAACGCGATCATCTTATGGAGCTCGGCGGATCGTTCAATATACCTTTTGGGCAGGTTTCGGACACGATTTTGTTCGTATTGGTGTATCTAGGGTATTCCAATATCGTCGACGGAAACACAGAACGAGCTTACAAGGGCCAGAACTTGGTTCTGATTACACCGTTGCTCTAGGGTGTGAGCACTGATTGGTTTAATTGTTTGTTGTCCCGTCGTTTGATTGGCTATTATCTATTAGGTCCAAGTGTAGTGGGGGCGATCCGGCGACATCGGTTCCCGTACAAACAGTTTATGCACCTTCTAACCTCTTTCTGTGTTGCACACTACTCGTATTGTACATACACGCAGGGCCGTCTTCAACCTATTGGAGGCCCTGGGCATATTAGGATAATGGGGCCCCTATTGACTGATGTGGATTATGACTTGAGATGGAGCGAATCATACTGATGATTTTTCTTTAAAATGTGTATATGCTTAATATACACATTTTAAATTTATTCATCTTTCAATTCTCTTTATTCATCAATTTTCTTTCCTTCTCGCTTGGCTGTTTTTATCATTTCTACGCTGATGATCTGCAAATTTATGTGCAGACTACTGTCGAGGAAATGGCTGCTGGCATATCTCAGCTAAATAAAGATCTTTGCAATGTAAGTACGTGGTCTACAGACTTTGGAATCGCTGTTAACCCTATTAAATGTCAGGCAATCGTTGTGGGTGGTTCCAAGCAGATCTCAAAGATCGATTTTGGTCTGCTCCCACCTGTTGTGTTTGAGGGTTCTACAATTCCATTTAGCCTCAGCGTCAAGAATCTCGGCCTTCACATTGATACAACGCTAAGTTGGACTTCGCAGATTGCTGAAGTTAGCCGAGCCGTTACTTTTTCATTACGTTCCCTTAATCGCTTCAGAAATTTCCTCCCCATAAAAACTAAGATTACTCTCGTTACGTCTCTTATTCTACCACTCATTGATTATGCCGATGTCTGTTATCCCGACTTAAACGCAGATCTTCTCAACAAATTGGACCGCCTAATCAATAATGCTATCCGTTTCATCTTCTGCCTCCGCAAATTTGACCATATTTCCTCATATCGATCTCAACTAAGATGGCTTCCTATCCGCCAGCGCAGGCAGTTAAGATTACTCTGCACTCTTTTTTCGATAATTTCCAATCCGCATTCTCCAGAGTATTTGAAATGCAAGTTCCAATATCTCTGCGATAGTCACGAACGTCCTCTCCGCTCTTGCGATTCATTAGCTCTCTTTATCCCTCTTTCTCATTCAGGCTATATGTCCAAGTCCTTTACTCTTCAAGCCATACGGCTGTGGAATGACCTACCCGACTCCATCAGAAGATCTCCAAATAAACTCATATTTAAAAGGAATGTTCGCACTCATCTGCTTCAAAATTTAAGATAAAGAGTCACTTTATTAATCATCATCAGGTGTATAGTTATGTGTATATATATTTAAATATAATTGTGGTATGTATGTATGTATGTGTATTCCTTTCGTAAGTACTATCTATTTACGTATATATGTATCTATGTTAATTCGTATATATTTTAATATTATTTATTATTTCAATATTTATGTGTGTATATTTAGCTTTATACCGCCGTTCGCGTTTTTCTTTTTTCCCAAAGGTTGACTGGGAGAGAATGCTATTAGCATTAAGTCCGCCTTTTGTACCATTGTTTTGTATTTTGGTCAATAAAGTTTAAAATAAATAAATAAATAAATATGTATATTAAAAATTATCTAAGCATGCTGAAGTCGGAAAGCCTAATTTTTGGGCGAGAGTAGAATAGCTTCGCTTATGTAAAAGCTAGTAAGTTGGTATTGTATTCGGTAATTTAGGTTCGATTTCTTCGAATTATGTAAGTTTTTTGGTAATAAATATTGGTGATCTGACAGGAACTACTTTGTATTTGATCTGAGGGAGGGCCCTATCGATCGCGGGGCCCTGGGCACTTGCCCAATGTGCCCACTGGGAAAGAGGGGTCCGCATACACGTAATTAATTCCTCTACCTTATTATTAAGGTAACTACGTACCCACGATCTTTGTTAACAACATTTTTAATACTTTAATATAAAAGGATTAAAAAACATTAGATTACAGAGATATTACTTATCGGTTAATCGTCTGGTGACGTTTAAGTAGTTCGACATTAATTTGTAACAACGCAATCTAGAGCATAATAGTGATTCAAGTATTCATTAATTTGAAATTTAAGGTAAGTTTGAATGATTTTACTGTTGGTCCTTGAGCCAATCAATTCAATTGTACTCGAGGCACTTATAAAACGCAATCAGGAACCTTTAAAAGAGGCGTAAAGAAGCAACATGCAGGTCGGCAGGGTGAGGATGGCTGGTGTGGCAGGTAGAACTGCTGTATCATCTATCTAAGCTCCTGGACTTCACCGTAACTTAACATCAGGTGGGGTGGAGTCATTTGTCGGATCTGATCTTTAAAACAAAAACGCATAACCAAAGATAAAATCGAGCAAATAAATTATCATTTAAATTTCCAATTTGACTAAGTGCTTATTATATCTATCTAGTCTATCTAGGAAAACATTAACACTAATTTTTGTTATTGTTGATATTTTCTCTAGATATTGATCTTTATTTTCCCTAACAGCGAAATTGAATTAATCGATTACACAATCTTTTAATCATCGAAACTTTGTGAATGCTGTATAGCCGGGCACATGGGCTTGGACACGCACAATGTACCTGCTTCGCTACTATCTTATATCGAATACCTGAAAGTGACGTAGAGATAAAATTAATTAATTAATTATGACATTTTCACACGAGTTAGTGTGCGTACGCGCGTATATGTACGTATATCGTATACTTGTGGCCCGCCCTCGCTTCGCTTCGGTGTAGAGCTGTCGTATAGACTAGTTTTTGTTCTCAGGCTTGTATTATACACAATGACATTCTTCTAATAATTCTTCTCCACTTAAATATGCCGACAACACAACTCTTTTTGTATCATCGTTGAAATTATTGATGGCGGCGATGATATTAAACTGACGAAAGAAATCGGTTACATCACCTTTTCCGTCGAATGTGGTCCTGGTCTCCATCTTTATAAAAACTACTTCTTCCTTGATTTAAAAATTCTTCACTCGCGGTACTTGAAATTACCCAGCGCGTCCACCATGAGGAGCTCTAGCCAGAGTGGATAGAACTCAGGGGACGTAATTACTAATTAAAAGATACTGGTAGAGATAAGATATTTATTTCATTCAGGCGAATATAATTATTTTTATCTAACTACGAGAGGTTATGTGCCCTGAAGATCGTCTCTTGTATGGAACCTTCTATCAAGAGACAGACGATTCCTTATTTCAAATCTTAAAATCATGACATTAACTTTTTAATATAACTGCCAACCGTAGGCATCGCAAGAGCAAAGAGTTTACCTAAACAAGGAGGCAGTAACGTAACGGACGTTACAGTACCTAATTACCTACAATAGGTACGCGCCGCCAGCCCCCCGCCCTGTAGCGTCGGAACCGCTATGTCCCTGCATTTTAAATCTGTATGATCTTCGTAAATATTCATTTTAACTACATGCATTAAAGGGCCAAATTAGTCTATATTAAATGCACAATGTATTTAAGGTACTTAATTGGATAAGGATGAATGTTATGTTGCTTAAAATCGCTTCGTAAATAATCTATTATTTCTCGTAAAGAGTATATAATAAAAAATGGTTATTGTGGGTTATCCCTAAGAGATAGACATATACAATTGCGGACTTTTTTGTACACCTTTTTAAGGTGTACAATACTGTAGTACATTATTTTGATCTATCTCGTAGGGTTTAGCTAAAAAAATGTTTTTATGTACGACCTTACATTAAAAACCTCTAAAATTATCAGTGTTTCTCTACTATATTATGCATGTATTATACATATAAACCTTATTCTTAAATCACTGTAACAATTAAAAAAACCGCATCAAAATCCGTTGCGTAGTTTTAAAGATCTATGCATACATAAGGGCACAGGGACAGACAGCGGGAAGCAACTTTGTTTTATACTATGTAGTGATAGGGTGCGGCCAGAGTGCACTCAGATTCAGATTCAGATTCTGAAAACAAGCGCGAGAAATAAACAGTGTAGTCGAAGGGTACGGCCAGAGTGCACTCCTGATTCAGATTCAGATTCAGACTCAGAAAACAAAGCGCGAGAAAAAGCAGGCAACCTGCTTAGACTACACTGTTTATTTCTCGCGCTTGTTTTCAGAATCTGAATCTGAATCTGAGTGCACTCTGGCCGTACCCATACACCTAATAGTATCACACAGAAGGGTAGATAATATATTGAGCTAGGGCCGCCTTTCAGGGGGCCATTCGCCTAACGGAAATGCTTTGGAAAAAGCTAACGCTTTC